CCCTGTTCTGCAAATGAAGTTTGCAAAAGCAGTCTGCACACTGAAAAGTGGCAAACACACTGTCCTCAGCACACTGTGTTAGTCAGCATGGGAAAGTCTGCTTTTTCATAACCAGAGTCTCACTGGTTTTACATGTACATGATGGTATGACCCATTCAGAGGCCTTTTTCTCCTTTCTCCGAGTTGCTTTCTCTGCTTTGATATTACTTAAGTGATTTGACCAATTTACTTAATTTCTTTAGAATTTAAAGAAAATTACCTTTTTTTCCTAATGCCGAAAGCAGAAACTTTTCTATGACCCTGGAGGACTATGATTCACATAGAAGTGTAGATGTGAGAATTCTTGTCACAACTCTGTAGTATTCACTGAAAGTTGTTATTTGAGTGCTCCTTGAATTATCTCTGCTTTCACAAATGGACTTTCAAAACCACTGGTAGGCAAGCTTCCAATTCTAGTTACAGTGGAGTAAGCACACTCCATTCTTTCTTACCCACTGAATGCAGCTAAAAACCACGGGGCAGCATATATAGGCTATTTGAGAACTCCAAAGTAAATGATAGTAGGCAGACCGGGTAAGAAAACCAAAATGCAAAGCATGAAAGATCCAACCTGTGAACCTCCTGTTTTGTTTTGTTCTTTTTCCCCCTTCTTCCCACTCATGTCTCCTGCCTAGACTCAAAGTCAACATAAATCCCAGAATTGTTCTCTGGGTACAGATAGAAAGAGCTCTAAAGGAGAGGAAGGGAAGCCCCAGAACAGAGACAGAGAGAAATCCTACCAATTTCAATGCTAGCTCTGTTGACAGTTTATATACTACATTCTAGACTTTATCTGTTGATTAAAAAAATAGTTATAATTACCAAACATTTTATTTTCTGGGTTTTTTCCCCCTCTTAATAGAGAAAAATATTTCCCATCTAAACTTACTGCACAATCATTGTAAGTGTATTGTTTTATGATATATTAAACCTGGTTCAGGGCTTCTCTAACTTTAGCGTACTTTAGATTCTGATTCAGTAGGTCATAGGTCAAGCTTGGGACCTGAAAGTGTATTTACAGCGGGTGCCCTATGTTGCCATACTGTCCCTAGACCAGGCTTTGATGAGCAGAATAGTAATTATTGAACAGTTCCTATTTAGGTTGTTTCCAGTTAGTTGCTTTTTTTTTTTTTCTTTCCCCTAGAGTTGGGGTCTTGCTATCACCCAGCCTGGAGTACAGTGGCTCACTGCAGCCTTGAACATCTGGGCGAGTAGGTGGGACTGTAGACATGCACCATTATGCCTGGCTAATTTTTAAAATTTTGTGTAGAGATGAGGTCCTGCTATATTGTGTAGGCTAGTCTCGAGCTCCTGGCCTCAAGCAATTCTCCCACCTCTGCCTCTCAAAGCTCTGGGATTACAGTTATGAGCTAATATGCCGGGCCTGTTGCTTTTTTAGTGTTACAGTGGGATATTTTTTATACATAAAGCTTTTCTTTATATTCGCGATCTTTTCTTTGAGATAGATTCCTAGAAGCAATGTAACTGGGTCAGAGCTTATAGCTACTTCAATTGCTGATGAACTATTGATGACTGTTTTCTCAGAGGATGTTGCCAGTGGTAATATATCCCCCTCAAATTGTAGATGAGAACATCAACATTTAGAATGGCTCAGCTGCCAGAGATCACACAGCAAATCATTTCAAGAGCTATGATTTTGCAAATGGGTGTCTGTTCCAGGCCTGCTCTTTCCTGATCTGCTTTGTAAACCACCACTGCCTCCACCTCAGCTCCTCCATTTAAACTAGCTGTTTGGCATTGTACCTGGCTTATCATTGGCTTTTTAAAAAATCTAGACTTGAGGGAGGGTGGGAGGCAGGTAGGGGATTAGAAATTACCTATCAGGTGCAATGAATCACTAGTTTGGGTATTGGGTGTATACTTACAGTCTTCTTCACCGCTATACGGTTCATCCATGTAACCAACAAGCACTTGTACCCCTAAAGCTACTGAAATAAGTAAGTAAATAAAATGGGATAACTGAGTATAGTTAAAACAAAAAAAACTTTGCTAATTTGACATGGGCAAAAATGAGCTTCTGTTCATTTATGTTTTATTTGTTTGACAGAGTTTATGTCTCTGTCTGGTCACATCTTTTGCCTTTTGATAAATTTTCCTTCCTAAGATGGTCTTATTTATTTTCTGTATGCTATGTACACAATAAAGACAGTAACTTGTTTCTGCTGCAGTTGCTTTGTAATTTGTCTTGTACTTTGTTTGCCTTTTAAAACAGAATTGAGGGCAACCCCCTCGGGTCACCTCCCACTGTGGGAGCTTTTCTGTCTTCTCAATAAATCTTACTTTAAAAAAAAAAGCACAATTGAAACTTTTTGTGTTTCTCTTTTCCTGTTTCCCACTACACTTAAAGAGGCTTTCCCTTTGCAGAAGTTTGGCAAACATAGGAAGATTCTTTTAAAGGAAACTTGGGGCCTTTAAGGACACCTGTAAGAAATACTACATTAACTTTTGGCTGTTTTCCTCAGTGCCATATTTACTTTGTAATTTCTCCCCTCTCTCCCAATACATACAGTTTCCCCACAAATATTTTCTTGCTAAAATGGGAGGACAAATTATGGGTGATACTGCCTTAAGAATGTGATTTAAAGTTTCTAAAACAGAGGTCAATTTGAAATAATGTAAAATGAAGAGATTCCCAAGCCTTTTTGGTTGTTGTTGCTATATTATCCATTGTTATGACAGAACTAGATCAAACTTTCAAGTTGAAATTTTTAAAAAATAGCATGTTTATATAGTCATTCAGGTTATAAATGGTTCTATATAACTTGTGAAAAAACAGTAGTCCCCTGGCCTTGACCCTACTAGCCCCCTTTTCTACTCTCTTGCAATTCTTTCATCTGAATCTGGTGTTTTTTCATATCTTTTAACTTTTTTTTGAGTTGGAGTCTCACTCCATTGCCCAGGCTGCTGTGCGGTAGCACATTTATGGCCACCACAGCCTAGACCTGCTGCTCTCATATGATCCTTCTGCCTCAACCTTCTAAGTAGCTGAACCCACAGGTGCACGTCACCGTGCCCAGTTAATTTTTGATTTATTGTAGAGACGCGATCTCACCAGGTTGCCCAGGCTGGTCTCAAACCCGTGGGTTCAGGCAATATTCTCACCTCTGCTTCCCAAAATACTAGGTTTATAGGCGTGAGCCACCCTGCCTGTTCACTTTTTTTTAAATGTGTTTCCTCTCATGTCTCGTAAGTGACACAGGATATTGTTACTCTGTTCTTTTTGAATGTAGACATTCCCTGTTATTGACTTCCTGCTGTGAAAGGCAAGGCATTTGTGTCCTTCCATGCTTTTCCCTCCCAGGCCTCTCCCCCATCTCCACTACACACATTCAAGTTTCTTGTCCTGTCTTCCCTGTGTAGTTCTTCTCTGTCTTTTATTTAGCTCAATATCCAATGCTTACATTATTGCAGCTCTGTGAATGCTATTCACAACCAAGTCTTATAGTTCTTGTAATTGCTTTTCCTTCTTTGAACAGTATTCTGTTTCCTGTAGAGTTACTAATTGTCTTGCTTTTTGCTGTAGTAGTTTTCCATGTACTTATTCTCCCCCAAGTTTTGACGCTTCACTCCCTACCATCAGGCGCATTGAGTATTCTGTTAATCTCATTGTCTTGATGACATCTCCCTGTAGCATTAGGGCTGCTTGCTTTCCAGCCTAAATGCGTGAGCCACTGCACAGTTCTTTATCTCTCCTTCATTGGCATCCTAGCAAGTCCCATGTCTTCTTTTCTTTGTGTTTACTCCCTTACTTTGTAAATCATATATTTTAATTCCTGAAAAAAGAGTATATAAGTGGTAAATATTTTAAGTGGCAGATATTTATGAAAAAGGCTTTAGTTTATCCTTGAATTTATGCTTAGTGGTAGTATGGCTAGGTATAGAATTCTAAGTTGGAAATCATTTTCAGAATGTGAGGCATTTTTCCAAAGTTTTCTGTTTTCCAGTGTTGCTTTTAAAAAGTCTTATTCTAATGATCCCTTGTATAAAGTTTATTTGTAATCTCTGAAGGCTTTAGGGTCTCTTCTTGGTCTCCAGTTTCTGAAATTTCATAATGCTGAGTCTTGCTTGTGCAGGTCTGTTTTCTTCTATTGTATTGGACATTCAGTGATCCCTGCCATTGTTAACCAGAAGTCTTGATAATTTTTTTTTTTTTTGAGAAAGCAGGATTTATTGAGAAGACAGAAAAGTTCCCACAGTGGGAGGGGACCCAGAGTGGTTGTCCTTGATAATTTTTTTTAAAGGGAAATTGTAATGAAATATATTTCTCAAAGCTGGCTTATTTATCAAATGTTAAAAGGGGATCATGGTAGTTAAGTTGGTCAACCAGAGTTTAAGAGTGCTGACATATATAAAATATAGACAGTCACACATTTTACTTGACAGGTCAAGTAAAAATTGCAATGAGTGAATTGTTCAAGCCACTTAATATTCTAGTTTCCAGCCCAGACTTGTATCATAGATAGATAGATTAATATGTAATCTGGAAAATTGTCTAATGGCACCCACATAATTTCAAAAGATTAAAGGCATATCACTTGTTTCAGTGTGGTCTCTGAAAATTCACATACCAAAAATATTCATATGTTTAACTACCTCAACCTCTAGCTGCTAGAGATTTATATTTTATTTTCCCCAAATGACAGTTGTAGTAAATTAATTATTTAATCAGAGATAGAGGTATCATTTTTAAAAACTGAGTAAACATCTGCTGAAATGTGCTTTGAAAAGTGGTAACCTTAGGAAAGTTTGGAAGCCACATGATTCATCTGTGAACCCATACTTTTTTCAAAGTCTGCCCATGGCATGGTAAATATCAAGTAGACAAACTTCTGGTGAGGATTTTGTATGTCTTAAAATAGGCTTAATTCTGGCTATGAATAGTAATCACAGCACTTTTTCACATGGCTAATAATGAATCTTCTTTTCTCTTTTTCCACCAGCTTTTTGGAGACTGGGAAGCTCAACTGCGGAGAATAATGAAGCTCATTGCGGGAGGTGGCTTGTCCATCACGGGCTCTCACAACATGTGTGGGGACTATCTGTACAGCGGCCACACGGTCATGCTAACCCTCACCTACTTATTTATCAAAGAGTGTAAGTCAAAAATAGCCTTCTGTTACCATCTACTCACTTACACTTTCCCATGGTCTTTGGTCCTCTAGAAAATCATGGTTTCTGGAAAGTCTGCTGAAACAAGACTAAAAGCTTTGGAGGGCAACAGCCCCATCTCATCACCATGCCTGTGGTGCAACCAACACCCAGGGAAATGCCCCAACTTGTGAATGTATACCCTTCTCTTCTTGAGGAGGGGATGTCTTGTTTCCTGGAGTGTGAGCTGCAGTATTGGGATAGAGGCAGTTTTGAGCATAGCATGCAGGGTGTGTTAATGAGCCAGTTATGCAGCTGCTATGAGGAGGCAGATGGAAATCTCATAAGGATACAAAAATTCAGGGTCAGGCCTGACTGGCGATGGTAGATCATGTGTTGACTCAGTAGCCATTTTTTTTGAGCACTTGGCATTATGCTACATACATGCCTAAGGATACGGTGCTGGGTCGGATGACATCTCTGCCCTCCGAAAGGTCTTGGGAGTCAGACCCTAAATGGGAAATTTCCCCTAAGAAATGTGCTTAAAATATTTTATTGTGAAACACACATGAAATAATATCACAGATACCCCTATGCACAGCTCAGATTTAATATATATTAGCATTTTGCCATATTTGCTTCAGATAACACTTTTAAAAAGGAAGTGAAATTAAAAAGGAAGTGAAATGTTACTCTATGATTAAAGCCTTTTCATTCCTTCTCTCTCTCCCTTTTCTGTACCATTTCCACCCATGTTTTTGTACTTGCATATTGTTTTGTGGTTTAAAAAATTCACATAAATGATATCACGTTATTCATGTTGTCGTTTTTCCTCTTGAATTACGTTTTTGACATAGACTTTGGTTTATCGACCTTAATTGCTGTTAGTATTTCAGTACTATAAATGAACCGCAGATTATGTATTCCGTTGTCCTCAACATTCTATTGTTAGAGACAGTCTAATGAACATTATACAGGGAGTTTCCATGATGAGCAATAATTAAAGTTGGCTTCTGCGGTATCACGGGGACACGAGTTGTCGTCTGGAGGTGTCTTGGGAGCATATGGCACTTTCTGGAAGTGTATGTGGTTGGAACTCAGAGTGGGAATAATAATGAGAAGTGAGGATGCCCAGGTAAGGAGGAACCAGATCATGGAGCGTGTCTTATGCCATGAGAAGGAATCTGAACTTCCATCAGATGAGGATGGAGTGCCCACTGAGGGCTTATAGCCAGTGGGGCCGTGCCACCTCACTTGTCCTTTAGAAAGGGATGGAGTGGAGAGGAGTGAGACCAGAGACCAGGAGAAAAGCCAGAAGACTGAACTGCTGCTGCAGCTGGAGTAAGACATGGTGGTGGCCTGAACTGGCATGTTGGCATCGGGGGTGGAGGTGGATGGAGGACCCTGTGAGAGATGAACTAAGAAGGATCAGCAGATAGCAGCATGCATTGAGCAGGTGGAGAAGAGAGGTGGCGGATTGAGCAAAAGTCCAGTTTTGGTCTTTAAAAACTAAGTTAAAGGAACACAGGAACATAAGAAAAAATGTGCCCCAGGGCACCGAGATAGAAAAGGCGGAATAGATGTTCTTTATGTTTGTGCTGCGTATACGACCAAACATAGTGAATTCTAGCGGGCTTATTCAGAATTAAAGTATGATATAGCCCCTTTTACAGGGATGAAATGGGGAGTGGAAAACAGGGTCTAGAAAGGCCAGATGTCAGCATCCCCAGGAAAAGAATTCCTGCCCCCTGCTGGCTGATACCTGAAGTCCTCTAATGGAGTCCAGGCTTATTCCTTGATGATAAGGCAGTGTACCATATTGGGATACAGAGCCTGAGGTCACAAAACTCTGATTTTGAATCCTGGTACAGTCACTTAGTAGCTCTGTGACCCTGGGAAAAATCTTTAATCTCTCTAAGGCTTGATTTCCTCATCTTTAGAATGAGATATTGATATCTGCTTCATGGGTCCGGAAAGAGGTAATTAAAATTAGGTGACATATATGGATGTTGATAGAATTGCACAGAGAATGAATGGTAGCTGCCACTTGTTATATTAAGGTAGCAAATACAAATATTATTGGAATTTATTCCTACCGTAACCACCCTCATTTAAAATTGTTAATTGCCCTTCACTCCCTCTACTTCTGATCGCCCTTATCCAGCTCAACTTTTTAATTTTTCTATAGCTTTTAATACCTCACGTAGTATATAAATGATTTATTTATTATAAAGTCTCTTGTCTCTCTTTCCTACTAGGAAGGGGTCTCCTCACAAAAGCAGATTTTTTACCTGTTATGTTCATTGGTCCAGGCATCCAGAGCTGTACCTGTCCCTGGCATATAAGATGCTCAGTGAATATTGGTTGAAGAAACGACTTATTCTTGGACCCCTTGAGAATTCAGTAAAAGCTTGAGCCTGCTCCTCTGGTGTGGGGAGGGTATATCATGTTCAAACAACATTTTGCCTAAAATTTCAGCCCCTCAGTATGCTCCACTGAGAATGCAAGGTAGAAAGGCCTGCACTAATAGAGATCTTGACGTGTTTATCTGACATTGTCCTACCTTTAGGGAGGCACTTGGACTAAAATTTCCAGGCATTTGAATACTTGTCTATTTGTGTTTGAGAAATCTCAAAGACTCAGATTTGTGTATGGTTGCAGAGCTTGGAAAGCAGATCAAAACAGTTATATCAATTATAACTGCTTAGTCCTTATATAAGCCTCTGTGGACCAGTAGTTACTGATTTTTTTATATAGAGAATCAACCCCAAGTTAGCTACCGTTAAACCTAATTAAATATCAATGGATAGAAGCTTTTGAAATGGAACATGATACATTAACCTGTCCTTATTTGATTAGACTCATCTTTTAAACTGCACATATGATTATATGATTATATGAATCAAGTAATAACCAAATATAAAATACTGTTGCTAGTAAGATAAGTTGATAAATAGCCATGTTCATGCTACCATTGGTTACAGAAGCGAGAGTGCTTAAATTTGCTGACACCAAGAGATCTATTTTCAGAAGGAAAGACCCAAGAAAACTGCATTCAGAGGCAGTGGTAGAGCCTAGAGGCATGCGCAGTTGCCCTTTATGTGATTTGAATCATGGAACTATGGCAAATTTCTCCTGTTTTCAGATTCCCCTCGAAGACTCTGGTGGTATCACTGGATTTGCTGGCTTCTCAGCGTAGTTGGAATCTTCTGTATTCTCCTAGCGCATGACCACTACACTGTGGACGTGGTGGTGGCATATTACATCACCACGAGACTCTTCTGGTGGTATCACACTATGGCCAATCAGCAAGTAAGTTTTGCCCCCATTGATTTTAGCTTCTATGGCTCCTGGCTTTGGGGGTGTGCAAATAATCCACGGAAGTCTTAAGTTTCTCTTGCTTAGGGGGCAATCAACTAAGATTTGTTGCTCCTCTTCAGAATTAAGATGAAAAAATGTGTTAATATGATGGCAGGAGAGTACTTTCTTCTCGAACAAATATCGTGCTCTCATTGTCCATAAAAAATATTTTCTGCCATGCTCGGTGGCTCAGCCTGTAATCCCACGCCTTTGGGAGGCTGAGGTGAGCGGATTGCCTGAGCCCACGGGTTCGAGACCCACCTGGGCAGCGAGACCTCATCTCTACAATAAATCAAAAAAAATCAGCCAGGCGTGGTAGCGCACACCTGTAATTCTGGCTACTTGGAAGGCTGAGACGGAAGGATCACCAGAGCCCAGCAGGGCGAGGCTGCGGTGGCCGGGAGCAGCCACTGCACTCCAGTCTGGGCGACAGAGTGAGACTCCAACTCAAAAAAAAAAAAAAAAAAAAATATATATATATATATATATATATATATATATATTTTCTAACCCTGTGTCCACCTGTTGCTTGATTTACATCCCTACCCTCTTCTACCTGCTCTGAACCTATCAACAGCTTAATATTTAAGTCTTTCCACATTTAGCATGGAAGAGTGAGTAACTAAAAAGCTAACTGAGGTATTTATTTATAAACAAGAGATGAGTGAGCCACAAGTTCTCCCTGCCTTTCTGGAACTAGGATAGTTTTTCTACTGAGGTGTGGTGCAGTGAGCAGAGTGGAGAATGGTGGTGTGTGAGAGAAGTTGGGATGTGTGGATGGACGTGGGCCAGGTCTGGGATCCCTTGGGAATTTTATCATGGGAAGTATTTGAACTTAAAGTGAAAGATTGTGAGAAAAGTTTGTATGTTTCTTTGTGACTTTAGGTGCTAAAGGAAGCTTCCCAGATGAACCTCCTGGCCAGGGTATGGTGGTACAGGCCATTTCAGTACTTTGAAAAGAATGTCCAAGGAATTGTACCTCGATCTTACCATTGGCCTTTCCCCTGGCCGGTAGTCCACCTTGGTAGACAAGTTAAATACAGCCGGTTGGTGAACGACACATAACAGCTGTACAAAGCGGGGGAAAGACGAATTGTCCGAAGTGCTAAGAACTCCATGAGAGAAGATGCCATAAATAAACACCTCCCTAATCCTATTATCTTTCAATGGTTACCTTGACTTAACCTATTGAGTTACCTGGTCAGCACTGTGATCTTTTTTCTCTCCAAAGGACCTGCGTTGGACAACAATAAAGAAAAATTTAATCTATCATGCACTGTACACATTTCCTCTTCATAAGTTTGGGATTTACATAACCCACAACCACCATGTTCCTTTGTATATGATGCAACAGCATAAATGTAAGCTTTTATATCATAAGTTCTGGTCTTTCCAGTCACATCTGGAAATAAAGCGTATTATTTTCTTGGGAAAACATACTTTTTCATATCTCTTGCCCCAAAGATTGGGCTGTAAGCCATTTTCTAGCAAATGTCTCTATGAAGGTTTCTAAGTACCTGAATGGGGTTTGATTCTAAAATCTTTCTACCTGTTGCACCGATATTCAAATAAAAATGACAGACACAGAAAGGTTTGGTAACTTTGGGTTTTGTAAAATCAGCAGAGACAGTGTGTCAAAAAGTGCAAAAAAAAAAAAAGATTCTGTTATAAAGTGATTTTCTAAGTATTTCCTAACTTTATTTTTCAAAATGATGTTATGAAAACCAAATTTAAAGATTTTTACATGTTGAGAGAAGAGAGTTAAAATTTAAATATGTGTCTTGGGAGAGAAATTTGTCTATGTTTCTAGTGCCTTTCTTGTCTTGATTGTATGGTCAGTAGGCAATCTTAAATGTTTTTATTTAAAATAAAGTATTCCATGAAAATATAAATATGTATACACTACTAAATTTTGCATTTATAGCTAAATTAAATCGGAAGACTGCTTATGGTTTTAAAATTGCAATGACTTAAAGAATGGGGTTATTAATTAGAGAGTTAGAGCCTGTTCACATATTGTGAGCAGATAGCAATGACATGTACCACTTAAATTATTTTATTGTCTATTTGGTAGTTCAATTTTAACTACTTAATGAAACAGCCATGAATATATCTTTTCTTTTTTTAAAGAGAGTTTTGAAAATGATCACTTACCTAAAACTTGAAAGCTATGAATTAGTTATCCATACTCTCATGACAATTTTGTTGGTGATCAACAAAAAAGAGATCTATTTCTTTAAAATATATTTGTGCAGAAACTGCATGTAACTCTAAGTTTTACTCCTAACATATGTATGTTTGGGGAAGTATTCTATTCTATACTTGCCAATGTGGAGAACAAAATAGTTTTTTAAGAATGAAGAAGTATATATATCCATTCTGTATTTTACGTGCAGCAGAATTATCTTCCGTAGGGTTTTTTTTGTGTATTCACAAGGTGATATTTGTATTGTAAAACAATAATGGTGAAGGAAATAAAAAGGCTTTTAAAATTTTGTTTGTTTTAAATCTTTGTAAAGTTATTATTCCAGAGAGTATACTGATATCTTACAGCTTACCTAGATCATAAATTAATCAAAATGCACTTTTTAATAAAAACTGATACTTAAAACAAATGGCTGTTATTTCTACTGTGTTTATATACTTCATAAAAGTAAAAAATGAAGTCATTAAAGTGAGATGGAAAATGAGTTTTAGAATTTCTTCACTGAGTGTGCATGTTTGACACTGGGATTTTTAATAATTATCTGGGTGTTTGTTTTCTTGAGATTCCTTAAAGTATGTTCTAATTTTCAGTAGCCTCTACAGATTGTGTGTATTTTTAAATATAGGAAGAGAATCAAAGATAAGTTAAATTCAAACTATAGACCACTGTTTACTAACAGTTTTGAATTTTCTAATTCTTAACCAAGCCAGACTTAATTTTTTTCCTACAACTGGAAGTAATATAGCTTCCCTAGTTTATATGGAAAGGAAAAGTAAATCTGAAATGAGAAATATAGACTAACAGTACTTTGATAATTAGTGGTAGTAGAAAAATAACTCTTTAAAAAAAAAAATTCTGGTGTGAAGAAAGTGTCAGCCATGGGGGTGTGTCTTTTTTAAAGGACATATTCATGGAGACTAGAAATGTAAAACTGGCAAAACTTTCCTGCTTGGGGCTCTGAACTTGTGTGTCAGAGGAAAGTGGTGGCCTCTTACGGAAAATAGAACAGAATTCTAGGATAGGTCTATATTTAACTGTTACAGCTTTTCAGTAACTTTGACTGTTGACTAGATTCCTGCCATGTTGAAAGGGAAAGTAAGTTGAGTAAGTAGAAATGAATTATTAGCACATGTTAAAAGTAGGATCTTTGTCTTTTTTTCCGAAGAAAGTAGACATAATTACATTAAAAATTTATTGTTATGAGTTTACATGCCACATATGTACCAAGAAATTCTCTTGCTGATTGTTCCTCGTGCCTGACTTCACTGATTCATGGATTGACATATCTTCTGGCTCTCTAGTGTGCAAATCCCAGGAAGGGCAAAGAGATATCTCATTGTATTTTGGAGACTTACAGTACTTGATAAAGACTGCCTGGATCAGGACATGTGATTTCTCAGTAGCTTCCTTTTTTTTTCTTCCTCTCTCTCATGTTACAAGTTAGGCATTTCGCATATATTAGCTTGTTAACCCTCTTGATCACAAGTTGTAGCTGTTATCCCCATTTTACAGTTAGATCAACCAAAGTGACTCAGATATGTTAAATAACTTGCCTAAGGGCATGGTAAGTGGTGAAATTTAATTGGAGTCCAAGTTTCCACCTTCCCTGCACCCACATGTGAGCTTTCATAAATTCTTCAATAAAATTCTGTAGTGAGAGAAATCTCTACCTATGGAGGTAAGGTAAAAATAGGAAGGATGACCCTTACTATGGACCGAGTAGCTAGAAATTTACACCATAAGGTGTGAGAAGATAATTTTGCCAACTTCTTAATTATTATATGTTTTATTTGTAACCCAAGCATGTACCCAAATTGATCAATTTGATAAATCTCATAAACTTAGTATACATACCACATAAAATAGGAATACATGCCAACCCTAATTTGACCACTGATACACAAAAAAGTCATGCAGGTTTTGGTTTTAATATAGAGATGTGGGGTACAAGTAAGGATTAACTACACAAGCAGGCTGCATGCAGATGAAGTTTGGGCCTCCACCTGGCCCTCACTTCCCCTGACTTGGGACCAGGTACCCTTTGTTTTGTTATTTGCTCACGTCCCTCCCTCCCCTGACAGAGCCCAGTGACTGCCAATTCCTTCCTTGTGTTAATGTGATTAATGTTCAGATCCCACTTATGAGTGAGAACACGTGATATTCAGTTTTTTTTGTTTCTGTGATAGATCACTAAATATAATGGTCACCAACTCCATCCAATTTGCTGTGAAGGCCATGATTTTGTCCTTCTTTAAGATGGCTGCATAGTACTCCATTGTTTAAATGTACCACATTTTCTTTACCCATTCCCCTTTCGATGGGCAGTACGGTTAGTTCCATGTTTTTGCTATTGTAAATAGTGTGGTAATAAACATGCGTGTGCAGGTGTCTTTTTTGTAGAACAATTTATATTCCTCTGGGCATATTCCCAGGAGAAAGATTGCTCAATATTATGAAAGATCGATTTTTAGTTCTTTTAGGAATTGTCATACTGTTCTCTATAGAGGTTGAACCAACGTACACTCCCACCAACAGGTAGAAATGTTGCCTTTTCTCCACACCCATGCTATTGATCTCTCTTTATCTTTTTCTCTTTGTGGTCAGAAAACTTACTTTGAACAAGTCAAAACAGTTGACTTGATATTCTGCTTATCAACACTTTAAAACACGTCTGTCTCCTAGTTCAAAGTACAAGTCATAAGGAAATTAATTGACCCTTGCTGTTGAAAGGACCTTTCACATTTAACGTGATAGCTAATATAATTGAATGAATTTCTGCCACGTCTGTAACTTTTCTATTTGTTCTCTCTTCACCACCTCCCCATTTTTGTGTTTTCCTCTAGTTTTGAGCATTTTATTATTTCATTTTATCTCTTCTTAGCATACCAATTATACTTTTAAAAAATTCTTACTGGTTGCCCTAGAGTCTACAGTTAGGTGTTTTATAACAACATATTTCCAATTCCTCCTTTGTACCCTTATAACATTGCTTTTCTTCTTTTAACTTATCCATATACTGTAGTCACCCAGTACATTGTTACTATTACTTTAAACAATTGTTAGATCACTTAAGAAAAATATTGTATTTATCTTCACTTATTTCTTCTCTGATGGTCTTCCTTATATACATACAAGCTTCTAACCTACATTATTTCCATTCTGCTGGAAGAACTTCCATTTCTTGGAGGGCTGGTTGGCTGGCCTTTTTCTTTCAACACTTTATTTCTCTCCAGTTTCTTCTGGCTTACGTAGTTTCTCACAAAAAGTCCTTTTTCTACTACAGGCATTATGTTCTTTTTTCTCTGGCTTCTTTAAATATTTTCTCTTTGTCTTTGGTTTTCTGCAGATTGAATCTGACATTCTTAGGTGTTGGAGTGTATGTGAGAGATAGAGAGAGAAAGACAGAGTGTCCTGGATTTTTGGTTTGGTGTCGTTAATTTTGAAAAGTTGGATTTTCTCTTTTTCTTTCTTTTCGTGTTTCAGTTTGGGAAGTTTCCACTGACATCTTCAGGCGCACTCCTAAGCCATATGTGTTCTACTGATGAGCCCATCAAACATATTTCTGTTATAGTGTGTACTGTTTCTTTCTTTTTTCTTTTTTCTTTTTTTTTTTTGAGTTGGTGTCTCACTCTGTCACCCAGACTGGAGTGCAGTGGCATGCTCACGGCCACTGCAGCCTCGACCTGCTGGGCTCTGGTGATCCTTCTGCCTCAGCCTTCCAAGTAGCTGGAACTACAGGCGTGCGCTACTATGTCCGGCTAGTTTTTGATTTATTGTAGAGATGAGGTCTCGCCAAGTTGCCCGGGCAGCGCTCGAACCCGCGGACTCAGGCAATCCACTTGCCTCGACCTCCCAAAGTGCTGGGATTATAGGCTGAGCCACCGAGCCCAGCCAGTGTGTACTGTTTATAGCACTTTCTTTTTTTTTTTTTTTTTTTTTTTTGAGTTGGAGTCTCACTCTGTCGTCCAGACTGGAGTGCAGTGGCCGCTCCCGGCCACTGCAGCCTCGGCCTGCTGGGCTCCAGCGATCCTTCCGCCTCAGCCTTCCGAGTAGCCGGAATTACAGGCATGCGCCACCACACCCAGCTGATTTTTTGATTTATTGTAGAGATGAGGTCTCACTGCCCAGGCGGGTCTCGAACCCGCGGGCTCAGGCAATTCACTCACCTCAGCCTCCCAAAGGCGCGGGATTACAGGCTGAGCCACCGAGCCCGGCTTATAGCACTTTCTTTTGGTGTTTAAAATTTACATTTCTATGCTTAAATTACCAATATCTTCTTGCATGTAGTTTGCTTTTTTCCATTAGCACTCTTAACATAGTTATCTTAAATTTTCTGAGTCTCATGCTGATAATTGCTTTGTGTCTTTAGGCTTTTTTTATGCCTCTTGTCATGTTTTGTAATTTTTTGTTGAAAGATGGACATACTGAGAAATAGAAATGTGGTAAATAGATTTTTTAGTGTAAAGATTTGTAAATCAGTTGGGATCTAGGCTATCTTTAATGCTTGCTGTAGCTATAGATGCCAGAGATTCCAGTTTCCTCCGGTGTACCCTTTTGGTCCTCCTTCTTGACTTTGGGCTTCCCTAATAGTTCTCCTCAGAGGAAGTCTGCTTCTTATATCTTTTTTTTTTTTGAGTTGGAGTCTCACTCTGTGGCCCAGATCAGAGTGCAGTGGCTGCTCCCGGCCACCGCAGCCTCGACCTGCTGGGCTCCGGCGATCCTTCCACCTCAGCCTTCCAAGTAGCTGAAACTACAGGCGCGCACTACCACGCCCGGCTAAATTTTTTTGGATTTATTGTAGAGATGAGGTCTCGCCAAGTTGCCCAGGCGGGTCTCGAGCCCGCTGGCTCAGGCAATCCACTCACCTCAGCCTCCCAAAGCCCGGGATTACAGGCTGAGCCACCGAGCCCGGCTCTTATATCTTTTAACTGCAGTCTCTGTTTATTTTGTTTTCCACTGGAGTTCTGTTGGTATATGGCTAGGTGTTGGATAGAGGGAGAGTTCTATGATCATCTAGTTGAATCTCTCTCTTTTTTTTTTTAGATTTACTTTTGTGTTGATATATAATATTTGTACATATTTATGGGGTACATGTGATTTTTTTTACATTCATAGAATGTGTAATGAACAAATCAGGTTATTAAGGGTATCTGTCATCTTAAATATTTATCATTTCTATATATTGGGAAAATTTCAAGTCTTCTTTTTTAGCTATTGAAATATGCAATACATTGTTTTTGACTATAGCCACCCTGATATGCTAATAAACATTAGAACTTATTCTTTCTATATAACTGTATACTTGACCCATTAACCAAACTCTCTTCACCCCACCTCCCACCCATCCACACACCCTTCCCAGCCTCTGATATCAGTCTTACTCCCTATCTTCCTGAGATCGACTTTTTA